CTCTATGCACTTGACTCTATGCACTTGACTCTATGCACTTCACTCTATGCACTTCACTCTATGCAATTCACTCTATGCACTTCACTCTATGCACTTGACTCTATGCACTTGACTCTATGCACTTCACTCTATGCGCTTCACTCTATGCACTTCACACTATGCACTTCACTCTATGCACTTGACTCTATGCACTTCACTCTATGCACTTCACTCTATGCACTTCACTCTATGCACTTGACTCTATGCGCTTCACTCTATGCCATTCACTCTATGCCCTTCGCTCTGTGCACTTCACTCTATGCACTTCACTCTATGCGCTTCACTCTATGCATTTCACACTATGCACTTCGCTCTATGCACTTCACTCTATGCGCTTCACTCTATGCACTTCACTCTATGTACTTCACTCTATGCACTTCACTCTATGCACTTGACTCTATGCACTTCACTCTATGTACTTCACTCTATGTTGTTGGGTCAGAGGGCTCCGCACGGAAGAACCCTTCGCGATGCTTTTCGGGAAAAAAAGCAATAGACTGTAATTTAATATCCAGACTCTTCCAAGGTTCGAGTGCATCCGCCAAGCCCAAGAGCAGCGGCGGTGTTTCCATGGCCCTGGGCCGGAGGCTGTGGCAGACCATCCAACACGCCTACAAACCCGCCTGGAAGCCCTAAAGAAGCCCTAAACCCTATGAGCCGAAGCCTTAAACCCTCAACCCCAACGTGCTGTCAGAGGTGCGTATTCAAGAGGCCAGCTAGCTTCGACCTCTGGCAATGTCCAGAGAACAGGTATATAACATAGGCTCAGCTTCTGCTGCTCGCAAGCCCTGCATGTGATTCGGTTTGAACATTTTGTGACGGCTCAAACCGGCCCTCTGTGCACCCCTCTGGTCTTGTCAAGTTTTGGAACCACCCAGATCCCAAGTGTACTTTCCCCGGCGACCTATTCGCACCATCTGCAAGCTAGCTCCTTGTTGAAGCGTTTTCTTGGAAGTTTCACAGCTTCCTGTTTTGAAGTTTTTGCAGCTCCCAAACATGACAAAATGGTTGAAAGAAGAGAACAAAACTTATGATTGATGCGTTGCTGCTTGCTGGGAGCTTCAAAGGCCCTTAAGAGTTCCACGTTGCCGAGATGGTGCATTCGAGGTGAGCATGCTAAGTTGACTTTACATCCTCGAACCTTGCCTGGTTGTAAAAACTGATGCTTTGTGCCCCTTTATTCTCTGCGTCATCCGCGGGCCACGCCAGCGGCGCATGGCACCGCCGAGCGCATCAGGCGGTCTGAGCGCCCGTACACATCATGTCATGGGGGGGGGGGCAACCCTCACTCAGGCGTTCGGTATTCTATTTTTGCGGGGTCGCGTGCTGACCCACCGCCATGTCCCTAGCTGCGTTTCCTGTAGGCCTTCGGACCTTTCGTCAGGCGTGAAGGATCCCGGCCGGTTCGCTCACTTGTCGCTTACCGGATCTGTGCCCGAAGCTTACTCTTGTGTGTTCGCCTGTCGTGTCCAATGTCGTCAAGTTGTGACGGGTCACGTGAACCTGTAGGTCGGCCATGTGTCAGTTGTTTTCTGATTCATGCTCTTGCTTTTGAGTCCCATATTTTTATGTACATGAATTTCTCGTCGTTTCGAGCTGACACAGTGTTTGTCTTGTGTATCTTTCTTCATCCAACCAGACCTTGCTGCTTGGAGCTGGGCCCGAAAATCATGCACCTTCTATTTGGCTCTGTTCCATCAATGCAAGGTCTGATCCATAATCAGGTTACCGCACATCGCACACATCTGTTCCATCAAACTCAAGAGAAGTTGCTGTCGGCATTTGTTGTGTCAAATGTAGACCCCATCACTTGGTTGCTTTTGTTTTGGCAAGTCTGCCGCCCTCGTAGATCATCTGTCCGTTCCCGAGCTGCCAGCTACGCTTTCTGGCACTGTCGGGCCCGGCGAGTTTGAGGTCCTGTGATGCTTTTGCATACAGAAGATGTATGTCATCTGCCCACCAACTCCCCAGACGGCGCGAGTTGCATGTGTTTCATGCAAGCCAGGCATGAAAAGTCAGTAGACATGGCTAATGTATGTGCCTCAGTCGAAAATTTTCGAAAGTGCTTGGTGATATGTTTGCAGCCGTTTTCAAGCGCTTGCCAAAGGCAATCGCGAAGAGAGGTTGAAACCGAACCGTACATGCTTGAGTCGCCATGCCGAAGATTTTAGTGCTGCTGCTGGCCTTTCTCGGCGGTGCTTGTGCAGATCCCACATGCTTGTTGCAGAAGGAGCCACGTGGGAACCACTTTGGGGGGGGCCTATTCCAACCTCTGTGCAGCAAGGTGCTGCATGCAAATTCTTTGCGAGGATCACCGCCAGGTGCTGGATGTGTTCACGAACACGTCCACTTCAGCGGAGTTCGAGGAGATGAGTTCGTACTTCGGACAGTATTGTTACAGTGCAGCGGAGGTAGCTTGGCCGCAGATCGATGTTCGTTTCGACCTGCTGCTGCCACAAACGCGGCAGCCTCTTGCACCTCAAACTGCGACAAGCTGTGAGTCGTAAGTCCTCCACACCCCCCTTTGGAGCTTGCCCCAACCTGTTTCCGAGACACCAAAAGTCCTAAGTTACTTTAACAGCACTAGTAGAGAAGTTTTGACCTTTGTTGAGGACTTCTGCCTTTCGAAGGGTTTGCAGTGCATGTGCGATGGCAGGTAGCGACGGCAGCGTACAGATCATTCGGTCTGGTGGGCAGCCGTCAAGAGTGCGAGGACCCGAAAGAAAACTGCGTTGGCAGGAGGGTTCTTGTTTTGAGATTGAGAGTCACAAGTCCTGCGTCTTGCAGGCGCGAAGTCGCCAAGCCTTCGAAAGCCGCAACGTCCGCAAGCGTCCGCCAGCATGCGCTCTGTCGCAGATCCACCCCGATGTTCGTGAGAAGAAGAGCCAGGATGACCTCATCTCGATCGACGACCCGCCCCCCCCCCCCTCGCACGATCGGCGACTCCATGCGCACCTGGTGTACGTTTGTCTGTATCATGTTCAGCTGCTTAGCTGTTGTACTTTTTGTATGATATCCAGCAATAAATTCTTGTCGACCATCTACATCTACTATTGGATAATCATATCCAATATCGTCTATTGAATGACATTGAAAAGATTTCAATGTCATTGATGTTTGATCCTTGTACATCATATATACCATTTGTTCCACTTAAAATCTGTATCTGATACAGGATGCCATATTCCAAAAATATTCCAAACCTTTGAGATTCAATGCCCTGCTGGGTGTTCCTCCTCGCCTGCTGCACAACCGACATCGGGCCGTGGGCCTCGCTGTGGTCGAAGCCACGGTTTCGGGTTTAGGGTTTAGGGTTTAGGGTTTAGGGTTTAGGGTTTAGGGTTTAGGGTTTAGGGTTTAGGGTTTAGGGTTCCATGCACCGTGCGGACGATCTGCGCGTCGCGCGTCCGCATTCGGGCTCGTGGCTCCGATATGTCAGGCTTCTGAGCTTTCAAGGAGGCGCACTTTCGAGGATGCTCGAGGCCCCCTGCTAGACACAGAGGGAACACAAAAGTGGCAACAGGGCATCACAAGCCTTTTCTGCTCATGCCTCAGCGGCATGAAGATCTGAGCCCCAAACATCTAACTCTCGAGTCTATCCGTATCCTGGCAATCCATCTTGGAGGAACTTTGCGCGGCAGACGCCACCCGGAGTAAAGACACAGCAGGATTGGGTGGCGTTTTTAAGTGCATTCGGTGGAGACTTGTGTGCTTGGGGCGTGAGTTGTTGTGATCGGAAGAATTACATCTAAACTCTAAATCTGCTTGCGCCATCATGCAGAGCTGTAGATGATGTTCGGAGCTTCGTTGGCTCCGGCGTTTAGTGTCTGTCGAATCTAGTGCCGAAACCTTCCATTGCAACATACGCTGGCAAGGAAGATGCGACAGTCATGCAAATGTTGCATATTAGGTCTTGTGTCGGCCATACGGAGGCTAAGAGGTTGTCGTAGGTGTTACTTTATGTCGCCAGCTCAGATGCTGATTACATAGGGCCTTCCTCCGATCCGAGAAGAAAATCAGAATGAGCAACTCCATTGGAAACACCCACCACATACCCCCCTACCAAATACCCCGAAACCTGAAAATACCTCCCTAATGAGACCGGTGCCTTCCGAAACAATCTGACCTAAATATTGAAGCTGCAGCTTCCCTGAACCCCAAACCCTAAACCCTAAACCCTACACCCTAGACCACAAACCCTAAGCCCTAAACCCTAAACCCTAAACCCTAAACCCTAAATGCCCTAAACGCCCTAAACGCCCTAAACCCTAAACCCTAAACCCTAATAGCCTAAACCCGAAACCCATTGAAGCTGCAGCTCACCGATTTGTGGCGGATCCTCGGGGATGCTCACAGCCAAACACTCTGCAGCACCCCTTCATGCAGCCTTTGTCATAAGAGCCTCTGTGTGTTGCCTTCAGCTTTCAGCAGTCTTCTGTTATTCCTGAAGTTCGAGCCAGCCAGAAACAGCAAGTTTCGTATTCAGAACCCTGTAAACCAATAAGTTCCTCAAGATTTCCAAGAGCACCCCTTTGTTGGCCAGACCCACTCCAAATAAGCGCAAGCAACACCCCAGCCAAAGGTTAAATAGCCCTGCTCCTTAACTTATGGGTCAAGGGCGGCGGTTCCATGGGGGCCACAGTTCCCTCAGTCCCCAAGGCGTGCCGAAAGGTCCCCAGGTGCCTTCCCCCCTCCCTGAAAGGACCCTAGAGTTGACCCTGAAGCCTTCATGACAACAGCCTCCGGGCTTTTGCCTTAGGCTTTAAGACTCAAACGCCCCAAGGCTGCGCGGACGCTCCCGAAAGTAGAGCTTCTGAGCTTTAGCCTTAAAGCGTGAGGAGTTGAGGCTGCGAAGTGCCGTGGGTTGTATTTGGGGTCCAACGTTTCAAAAAAAGCCAGGGTTCTTGCTTCCAGTGTTTGAAGTGAGACACCATCCGTAGATGTGTAAGCCAGAAGCCCAGGAAAAGTGCAACTACTACGGTTGGTACAACAGCCGCTTCCGCTTGGGAGCCCAATGCAAGCGATGCGTCCACTACCGTGTCTTCGCTGGAGTTGGCGTTTACAGTCCAGGTGCTTTAGGTTGAATGGCCGGGGTCACTAAGTCTTGCAGTCGCTTTAATGGAGTGGGAAGTGTAGGTATGCCAAGCTGTGGAACACACTGCAGGCGATCAGAGTTTAGGAAGATCACCGAGGAGTTGAATGGCAAGGGTGTCTGAGTCCAAGATTTTTGGCTTCTTGTGACGGTGTCTAAACCTTTCGCCGCTCCTTTCCTGTTCGAGGGCTCAGATAGGGACCAACTAGGATTGCAAAGTCACCTGGAAAAGTTTCAGTGGCACCCGTGGATGAAAGGGTGGAGGTTGAAGGTACGGGCTCCCTGCTGCGATACAAGCACCGACACCTCTTAGAGTTCAGGGTTTAAACCTGAACCCTAAACCCTAAACCCTAAACCCTAAACCCTAAACCCTTAGGGTTTAGGGTTTTTTCTTGTTTGTCTTCCTTTTGCGTAGCCGCATCCAGCCGAGGCTCATGCGAGGATCGCCGGCCTTCGGCTTGTGCCGATCGCTTTGGACCCAGCATCTGGCGAAAGGCGCGATTGCTGCGGTGATCAGAGTGGGTTTGTGGGTTTCTCATCCCAGGAAGAACTCCAGTCGTTACGACATTCCTAGCCACGAACATTTTGGAGACACTGTTGGGCTCGGCTTCCCGAAGCGGCTCTTGCGAAGTAGGAGATCCCAACAGAAGGAAGCTGCAAGTCTGTCATGCGTCCCATGTTGTCAGCAGCAAATTCTACGTGCGAATGCCCTGCGCCTGCAGATCTCCCCCACTAGCAACCGAGAAAAGCTTCTGGCTACGATTGCTCGGCCTCTTACCGCAGTTTCGGAGGTTTTTCATCTTGGAGAATGGTAGCATGCATGTGTTCAGCGTTCTGGGGTCGCAACTGCAAGGGCATTTGCTCTCAGTAGCTGAGAAGGCAACCTTTAGCCTTTCGGGGTCTATACAACCCTACCAGAATTGAAAGGTGAACCTTCTTTGGCCCAGGGCACTCGGCAACTAGGGAGTTGTAGTGCATTCCCTTACTGTTGGTTTCGTAGGGAATGGGGCAATGAGGTACCCTAAACCCAAAACCCAAAACCCTAAACCCTAAACCCTAAACCCTAAATCCTAAACCCTAGACCGTAAACCCTAAAACCTAAAACCCTAAACCCTAGTTTACCGACAGTAAGTTCCAGGTGGCCCCGGACACTTCCACGGTTCTTCCAGGGCGAGAGTACAAGGCTCCCTTGGAATGCGAGAAAGCATAGCGTAGGGTTTAGGGTTTAGGGTTTGGGGTTTAGGGTTTAGGGTTTAGGGTTTTGGTTTTAGGTTTAAGGGTTTAGGGAACTATTGCAAGCTTTGGATGACTTTGGATCTGGGCTTGAGGCTGGAACATGTGTGCTTGTCGTGCGTGAGTGTCCACAGCCCCAAAGCCAGTCTGCAATTGTATTGTATACTATGATACTCTGCTCTGTTATGAGAATAGTACGGGAATTTCTGCAGCAATTTTTCTAGCAAGATTTTCATTTCAGAACAATCTAGTGAGGCAAGAATTTTATCATTTTTCCATGAATATATACAGCTGTACATGAGCTGCGGGACCTTTATACGCGAGACCTGAGGTCGAGCCTGAGTTGACCGGCAAGTACTGCGAGAAGAACGAGATCCTGGCTCTTGAAGAGGCGCAAGAAAACCATAATATACAATAATATACAATAATATACAATAATATACAATAATATACAATAATATACAATAATATACAATAATATACAATAATATACAATAATATACAATAATATACAATAATATACAATAATATACAATAATATACAATAATATACAAGAATATACCATAATATGCCATAAGATGGAATCCTTTGGGTCTTAAGGTAAGAAGGCAAGGGGGTTCGAGTCTCATTTAGAAAACTTGAAAAGATACACGCTGGTGACTTTCTATATCCTCACTAGGTACCAAACGTTGAGAAAGGATACGTGGAAAGATTCAGACTGGCTACTTACTGTATACTAAACTTCATATTAAAATGTGCACAGTCCAAAGATACAGTGAAAGATACCGCTGGATACTACAACTAAATTGTCAACAGACTCGACCACCACACCGTGCAACGCTTGTTGCTAGCTACAGAATCTGTCCCTGAAGCCATGGCTGTTGCTGCTGTTGCTGCTGCTCCTGTCACCATCATCATAAGCATCATTGGAAGCGATGTAAAACAACTATGCTCTGCACTTTTTTGCCGCTGCCTTTTTGGCCTTACCTTGCGTTGCCTCGGCCCGGATCAGTTCGTTTCGTCTGCTACAGGTTTTCAAGGCCTGGAGCCTCACAAAGGGACGCTTCCATCCTGAAACGAGTTGTGACAATAGGCTCCGACTCCTGCATGTTGCACAACATATCCAACCGAAAAAGAAAAGATCGAACTGCAGGGTGGAAAGTGTGTTGCGAGTTGCAGGATCTCGGCGGCCTGGAAGGGTGCCAGCAGGTCTGTGGCCAGATTTCAAACTGTCGCTACTTCGCGTACTATCCTCGAAACGAGCCTCTGGAGGACGCATCTGCCTTCTTGAGATTTCTCAGAGAAAGTGTCAGACAACTGTATGTGGTGTAGGGCAGGCTAGCTAGTTTGCACTGCGAGGATGCCTCGGAGGCGGCTTGTTCCGCCCCCTGCCGAATTTATTCAGGATGTCGCAGGCCAAGCCGCACAGCGTGCCAAACCCCACCGGTAATGATTTACAGTGCAAGAACTACCACCACAACCCAAGTCGTGCCTCCACCCAGCACCACCACCGCCGCCACCACCACCATCAGCAGGGCCACCACCACCACCACTACAACCATCACAACGACAATCACCACCACCACCACAACCACCACAACGACGACCGCCACCACCACAACCACAACAGCGACAACTACCACAACGACAACTACCACAGCGCCAACCACCACGACGACAACCATCACCACCACAACGACAACCACCACAACGACAGCCACCACCACGACAATCACCACAACCACAACGACAGCCACCATAACGACAACCACCACCGCCACCACCGCCACCACCACAACGGCAACCACCACAACGACCACCACGACGACAACCATCACCACCACAACGACCACCACCACAGCCATCACCACCACCAGCCCACCTCCCAGTGTAGTCTTATCCATCGAGGCAGGAGATCAGTTCAGCTGTCGGATCAAGGCCTCCGACAGCACCGTGTTTTGCTGGGGCAAAGAGGGTCTCAGGATCCAGCCGCCGATAGGGGTGGCATTCTTCAGGATTTCCTTGGGAGACACGTTCGGCTGTGGCTTGCGCGTGTCCGACCGAAAGCCGCAGTGCTGGGGCGAGAGCCCCCCGGCCGTCCCAGCGTCAGCCCCAGCACTGACCACCATTTCAGCTGGTGCCACTCGGCACGCCTGTGGACTCGCTGAGAACCAGACAGCCTACTGTTGGGGAGACACGGAGCCCATCCCGGCAAATCTTCAGGATACTCGATTTGCCTTTATCACTGCCAGCAAAGACCCCAACTCTAACGCTGCCTGCGGGATTCCAGCAGACCAAGACCTGGGTGTGCAATGCTGGGGCTCACCGTTGCCAGCAGGTGGAGTGCCGACAGGCGTCAATTTCTCGAGCATCGGTCTTGGACAGGGTTTCGGGGCCGGCATCAACAGGGACACCCGACTCGTGGAGTACTTTGGATTTGGAGAGTGCACCGGCAGTATTCAAGGGACTGAGGAAAGGTGGACTTGCACCGGGAACGACGCCTACGGATTTGTGGATGACCTCCTCGGATACTTTCCCCCTGCCCTCAGTGGCCGTAACGTTGCGGTCGAGGACCCCATTTCTGTGGGCCGGAATGGGGCATGCGCCCCAGTACGGTCGGGTGTTCCAGGGCCCGAAGGGTTGTATGCCCCGCGGTGCTGGGGCAGAATTGACTTTAACATCAATGAGTCTGCCACCCCAGACTCCAAAGCCACGCCATATACTTTCGATCTCTTGAACAGCACTGCTCTGACAGGAATCTCAGTGGGGGTCGCACATGCCTGCGGCCGGAGGTTGGAGGTTTTTGAGCCAAGCCCTCAGGAGGAATTCTGTTGGGGTTTCGAGTCCCACGGTGAGTTCGCACCATCAAATCCTTCACCAGTACCAACCCCAACCCCGCCACCAATCACCAGTCCGAGAACCATCTATTCAGTAGAGGCCGGAGAGCTTTTCAGCTGTCGAATCACCGAGTCCGACAACACGGTTCAATGTTGGGGGAGACCGGGCCCCAGAACCGAGCCACCAGGCGAGGCCTTCTTCCAGATCTCGCTCGGACTTAAATTCGGGTGCGGCGTGCGCCTGTCTGACCAAAAGCCGCAGTGCTGGGGCGAGAGCCCCCCGGCCGTCCCAGCGTCAGCCCCAGCCCTGACCACCATTTCAGCTGCTGCCGAGGGCTTTGCCTGTGGACTTACTGAGAACCAGACAGCCTACTGTTGGGGAAACGCAAAGCCCATCCCCGCAAGTCTTGTGGATACTCGATTTGCCTCCATCACTGCCAGCAAAGATCACGTCTCCGACGCTGTTTGTGGGATTCCGGTAGACGAAGCCCTGGGTGTGCAATGCTGGGGCCACCCGTTGCCGGACAGCGGGTTGATCGGCTCCACCAAGTACTCAAGTATCGGACATGCAAAGTTCTGGTGTGGCATCAACAAGCACACTAGGGTGGCGAAGTGCTCCGGAGGTGCGGAGGGCTTCGGGTTTCAGCAAGGACCTACAAAGGACAGTGCAAAGCCCCATCCCGCTTAGCCCCCTGCGCGTTGCATCAAAGACCCCAATCACTGCATGGATCCTTTCCGGGTATACCGGGTCTAGCTGTAGGAAGCTGTAGGAATTTCCCTCCCTGCCCTCTTGCAAGCTAAGAAGCAGGTCCAGATGGTTTGGTGAGCGACCTCCACCAACCTGAGCTGCGAGTCGAGGATCCCATCTCCGTCGGTCCCTTTGGCGCATGCGCGCTGAGAGTGGTCGCAGGCATCTTGACGGCAATGACGGGGCCACCTTGCAGTTTTTTTTTTTTATGGAGCTTTCCTGTAGAGGTTTCTTAGAGAGTTGAATAGAGAGCCCTCTTGAGGGCCCTTGAGCACTCCACACCCTAAGTAAGACAGGAGCCGAGACTAAACTAAGGCATCACCGAGCCGCAGGCAGCCCCAAGGTGTTGGGGCAAAGTCGATCGCTTCATCCAGGATGACAGCAACGTACGTCCCAAGGAGATTGCCATGCCCTACGCCTCTTCGCCCAATTTTTGGGGGGCCCCCGGCTTGTTGAGGGTTTTGGAGTGTGGGGTTGTTCGGTTTGAACTCAGGGGTCTCCGAGTATCCCGCCGGTATCCCGCCGGTATGAGGCCGAGCATCCCGCCCAATATCCCTGGAAACGCGTTGGCAAGAGGACCCCACGACCGTGACAGCAACCAGCACCTAGGTGCGGCAGAGAATCCCCCTGCAGTCGCTTGAGGGTGCCGATGATCGAAGCACGTAGTTGGCGGGATTTGGCGGTGTTTTTTCGTTCTCCACCCCAAAGTTCGAGCCGGGGGCGGCAAAACCAAGGATTGGAAGGACCTCGGGTACCGCAACCTGACGTCTGTCTCGATGGGTTTTTCCCATGCGTGTGGCCGCAGAGATGATGGTGCAGCCGTGTGTTGGGGCTTCGACTATGCTGGTGAGACAAGCCCTCCATAGCCCAGGTCAACGGTTCACAGCCGGTATCAGTTCAAAGCTTCAAATTTTGGCTCCATTTTGGCAACTTGTACAGATGTGATTGGCTGCGTAGTGTTTTAGCAACATCCGCACGGTCAGGTTTTTCCACGATGGCTAACGGCCACCTGCCACGCCAATGACCATAGTCGGTGACATTCCCGCTGCGAGCCAGAGGCAAAAGTGGCCCTGTAAGCTTTGGCGGGTCACGCATTTAGGGTTTAGGGTTTAGGGTTCACAAGAAAGATTGATGGCAAGAGCTGAAGCAAGAGTTGAGTTAGCCAAATGTTGGGCGGAGCCACCCAGAGACAGGAAAGCAGCCAAAGGTTGCAGCATCACATGGAGCAAAGTGGCAGAGACTTCAGATCCTACCATCGCAGCCCCAGTGTCCCGAAGCACTCGCGACACCCAATATCGAATGCGACTCTGATCGGTCACTAGACCCTGAGGTCCACATGACTGCTTGGGGCAGAGCACGGACTAAAGCCATGCCAGGTGTTTTGTTGATAGTGCCACATGGTGTACGGATGGCTGCACAGAGACATTACTGCAGAGATGCCACAGTTTGTGTGCGGGTTGTGAGTGAGTTAGTGGTACTGTTAGCTAGGATTGTCTGACGTTTGTGCAACAACAAGCATAGCGGTGGTTACTTGTTGTGTTGTTTGTGCCGAAGGATTCTCCCCCGAGAAAAGGCTCAACCATCAAACGTCAATGTGTCAAGCAACTGCCGAACAGCATCTCGGGCCATGATGCCATGGGGCACATTCGCGCTCGCAAGCTGCACTCTATGTGCAACTTGCCTCCATTCACTCTTGTCTTCATGCTATGAGTGTACGTGCAAGAGGAAGGTTTTGAAACCCAGGTGCATGCCCTCGAGCAATGTTTGCGCTGCCGGAAGCAGTGCAGCGAACTTTTCGACTTCACTGGAGATGCATTGCTCCGCGGCAGGTTGTGGGTTCTCTTCTCGTGCAGCTTCTTTCATGGTCGGGGCCTGAGCGAAACGTTCACAAGTTGTTTGTTCGACTATTTGTTTGCCTTGTGAGCCGGCTTAGGCACAAACTCGCATCTCCTGCGTGAAGTGTTGCTCTTGCTACTGGTGGGTGTTCCAGCAGAGGAAGAGTTGGGAACACTGGTATTTGTTGTTGCGTATCTGGTTTCTGGGGCATTTGGGGCTCTCTTCAGTTGGCTGACTCTGCGGCGGACCTTGCGGAACAGCCCAGACTACCTGGCGATGCCAAGACATCATGTGGATGCGGTGGCTGACTTATCCAACAGTCGAGGGGCCAGCTCTTGCGTGTATGGGGCTGCAGTCTTGGCTCTGCTGGTCGCTGGCGACCGCCTCCTTCCAGAATGCTTCGCAATGAGCTCCCAAGCTGCCAACGCTCTGCTGGTGGCAGCTCGCATCCTTCCAGAAGTCTTTTCACCAAGGAGCAGTCGAATTCAACAGCGACCCGTGGCTGCAGCGATCCTACTGTCACTGCCACTTCTTGCTGCGTACAGCTCGGTGGTATCACTGTCAGTGGCGCAGGCGGTAACTTTTTGGTTTTCCATTCACTGCCTGCTGCGCCTCTTCCCTGGTATAGTATCACTGCATCCGCAGTCAGAGTATGCAGCGATGGATTATGCTGGACACGTCTACGGTGCTCTGTATGCCGGCCTTTGTGGAGTTTGCCACATATACTTAAACCGAAGGCACTATCCCAGCATGCAGGCTTGGCTGGCCTTGGGTGTGCTCATGCTATCGACGCTTCCTCGTGAGTTCTTTGCAGGGTTGTGATTCGTGGTTTTCTGAGCAGCGATATTGGCGAACTGCTTGACAGCAGGCTGCTGGATGCAGGGTTACCCTAAGGAATTGTGTATGGAGTGGCTTCCTAGCTGTGGCTTTGAGGCTGCAACCGCTAGCCTTGGCTTGTCTCTCGAAAAGAGTGCGCCCAATGTACTGCTGTGTTGGCATAGCCTCGGACTGCAAGTGGGGCCGAATCACCCATCCCTTGCTCCGTCGCTCGTCTTTGCTCGAAGGCCCATGGATAGTCTCTGTTCTCCTTGGCAGGGCGTTTTATGCGTGGGAAGTGAGCGTGGATCAAGCATCACTATTCCTTGGAGCACATGCTTTTGAAGCTTTCAATCTAACAGCTGACACGACAAGAAAGCAAGCCTGCAAACATCCAAAGCAGTCCCGATGCCTGCGTCGTTGACGGACGTGCCTCAGTCTGTGGTGGCCTTAGACAAAGCTGGGTTGATGCTGGCCAGCTTCATGGAGTGTTTTGATGCTGATCAGCTTCATGAGTGTTTTGTTGCGGACAGCAGGAAGGGCGTATGCCGGTCCCTCTTCACGGCCCAAGTGATTTGAGAGTGGCTCTGTAACCTGTAGAGACATGCCAAACCCGAGTCGCACAAGTGTGCTTGCAAGTTGCATCATGCTAAGTAAAACCCAACAGTTGGGGGGCTTTCTGAGCATGGAATGCCTGGCTGTAGCTCCAGAGACCACCGACCTGGTCTTCTCCGCTACACGTGGCGAGCAAGCTGCCTACCTTCTGGCGCCTCGCGAAGGCTGCGGAAGTTTCACGAAGATGGTTCGGAACAAGGAGGCCTTTGTGCGATTCATGCGGCAAGTCTTGCACTTCATCGAGAAGGTGGAGGGCCATCGGAGCTATCACCTCCGACTGTGTGCAGGCTGTGAGCCACCCGCAATGAGGAGTGGCCCACTACCTACTCTAACAGACGAGCTGCAGGCCCACATGCGACAAGCAGGCCCTCTGTTGAGTCAGACGGTGGGTTCTCTGAAATAGCGTCCCTTTTACCCTGAGAGGGGCCGCCTTATAACAAGGACCCCAAAAGGGCCATAATGTAGAGAGATCACCAGATGAATCTGCAAGCTTGCTAGTTAGGCTTTCAGACACTGAAGATGCGCTGCGCTGCATGGAGCTTCTGGCAGGCTTCTCCATTCTTGTTTTTGCTGACAGCAGCCGAAAGCGCGAACCTCCAGGTGGGAGTAAGAATGACAGGTTGCTGCGGAGATGTCCTTTTTTTTGTTTGTGTTTTAATAATATGTTTTGGTGGGCTCCCTCGCCAGATGCAGACAACTTGCTGAGCCTGGATGCGCCTGTTGACTACACAGATGCATCCGGCAGGCAAGTCGAAAGAAACGGAAACCCCAAGCGGCAGCTTCCTTCGCTTTTACTTTCAGTTCCAGATTTTCCAGAGGATGACATAGCAAGCTGTTGTAGTTTTGTTCTGAAGGCAAGTGCGGCTGCCAGTTACATCCCGCGACATCACTGTGCATGCTGGTACGTGCACGCGCTGTGCACTGGATGCCCAGGCAGAATGTGGCTTTTCTTGTGTAGACAACTGCTTTCAAGCCTTGTCTGGCTGGTCGAGTTGACGACTGTGTGTGACACGGTCCAGGGTCGTCCGATTCTGGTTGTGGTGCCGAACCGCTCCGTGTCTTGGTGGAGCATGCTGGAGTATGCTGGAGCACGGTATAAGCCATTGTGACCATTCCCACACCTGCCCGGAGGGACTGGGGGCTGGCGTGACGCTCTGAAGGGGCATGGCGTGCTGAGGTGCAGTTTCAATCTGACTGCACTGATGACGAGTTGGCTGAGCTTTGGTCCCTGGCGCTAGATGTCATCAATCGCGATGGTCAACACGGCCTGCAGGTCTCTCTGGGATTCTATAGGCGGAGTTGTTCAACATTGTGCTTAAGTCACTACCAACTGCCGTCATTCCCTGGTGTCAGGACATCGATCAGTTTGATACCATGCGCCTCAATGCTGGTTCATTCCAGAACATCCGCCACCTGCACCTTAAAGTGTGGATGAGCCGCCCAGAGCTCAGCGAATCAAAACATCCCAGATGTGAGGTCTTCTCAGCGTATTTCGAATTTTTGCAGAGGCGACCGATTCCAGGCCATGTGGGCTGATCACCCGGGCTACCAGGCCTTAGCGCATGGAAGAGCCTCGGAATGGGATGGGGGGACATATTCGGACACATTCGGACACATTCGGACACTGGCTTGTCTTGTGCCACCCTGGCTGCATGAACCCCCGGTGCCCAGGAGAGGGTCGGCGCAAGACTTCCAAGAGCGTGCAGAAAAAAGGGCCTGGGTGTTTGCCGGGGCATGCGTGGATGCCGCAACTCCAAGGAGTGCTTGACACTTAGGCATGGAAGGCTGTCAAGCTGAGGCCCATCTTGTGTGTGCCTTCGCGCGCCGAGGGGTTTCCTATGATCGACCGAATGCTGCGTGGGTGATGCCAGGCTGGGGTTCTGAGTGGAAAGCTGTGCGAGTGCGAGACGCTGCCTGACCTGGCTCGCTCCCAGGAGCCGAGCGACCCGATCCGGGCCAAGCGCGCGTTCGCGGTGGCTCGGGTAGATCGTGTGCATTGGGAGGATTTGAGCGCGTTTTGCGCAGACTCTCAAGGCTCTTTAGGCGGAGCAAGCTGAATGGGCAAAGCAACACTGGAATCGCTGTTGCGTTGCAGCCGTTATCAGAGATCTAAGTTTTTCTTGTAATGATTCGAAGTCCACAAAGCCAACTCTGAACGTTCCGCCTTGATCCAGTGAATCCTGCATAGCAGGTGCCAGCAGTGGCCAGGAGCTTGGGTTGACGTTTATGCGGCTCTAGTTGTCGAAGCAGTGTGAGGTGTCAAGGGTGTTGGTTTCTCGTGTTTGGCCGTATTCAGACACGGCACGCCCATCAATGCATGTTGCAGCTCAACGGTGAGAAGTGATGGCTTGCTACAGCTTCTGCTGGTCCTACTACTACTCCAAATTTTGTTTCTGTCTTCTTCTTCCGTCTTCCTACACTTGCGACGACGATGACGACAGCGACGACAAAGACGCTGATGAGTACTATTGCTGCTGCTGCTGCTCCTACTACTACTACTACTGCTACTACTACCACTACTACTACTACTACTACTACTACTACTACTACTACTGCTGCTACTGCTACTGCTACTGCTACTGCTACGGCTACTGCTGCTGCTACTGCTACTGCTACTGCTACTCCTGCTGCTGCTGCTACTTTTACTACTACTACTACTACCACCACTACTACTACTACTACCACTACTACTTCTACTTCTACTTCTACTTCTACTTCTACTTCTACTTCTACTTCTACTTCTACTTCTACTTCTATTACTACTACTACTACTACTTCTACTACTACTACTACTACTACTACTACTACTACTACTACTACTACTACTACCACTACGAGTACTACTACTACTACTACTACTGCTACTACTACTACTACTACTACTACTACTACTACTACTCCTGCTCCTGCTCCTGCTCCTGCTCTCGCTACTGCTACTGATCCTGCTATATACTGCTACTGCTACACACGGCTACTGTTATATACTGCTACTGCTACTGCTATGTACTGCTATTGCAACTGCTATATACTGCTACTGCTATATACTGCTACTGCTATATACCGCACTGCTACATACTGGTGACTCCTTTGTTTTCATATAGTTTGTGCTCTGTCAAGGCACTGACAGTGGAGGCAAGGGAAGTGCCTCTGAAGGTGGGTAGGCTTGTGGTTTTGTTCTGACGGTGCAGAACTCACGTGCGCAATGTGTCATCCTTCGACCGTTTATCGAATGCATGGGTCTCCCCTATGCCAGGGATTGCTTCTTTTGTGTATCGGTTTCAAACCGGAGCCCTGGAAAGGCGGCGGCAAGGGGGCTCCTGCTTACAGGCCACCCTTGGGGATTCCATCCTTGGGGTGTCTATCCTTGGGACCGTTCTGGGGGGTTTCTCGTGTGGGCGTTGGGATCTTTGGACTGGCATGTCGAATCATGGCGTGAGGTTCTTGGTGTACTTTCCGATGTGGGTTAGGGTGAGAAAGCCGCAGGAAACATGCAGCACTTGCAGGCCACAATGCGAAGGCGGTTGATGAATTTGAGGTGTTATGTTGCTTGTGGCGCTCGTTAGAAATCTCTCAGATTCGGCCACATTCTGGCAACTGCCATCGGTAACTTGTATTGCCTCTGAAGAGACTCCACAGTGGAAGCAAGCTTGGAATCGTTCGCAGGGTGCTGGGTCGTGGCCAAAGTCCCCACAGCGAAAGCAGTACACCTTCGCTGATGCCGCCAAACCCTGCCATGGCCGCAGTCTCAGAAGGGAGTTCGCGAAAACACGGGACCCCAAATATAATTCAGCCCCCAAATAGTAGGTTTCCTTTTTGTTTTTTTTTCTCAAGGACCCTAATCAGGTACCTTCGACTTTCGGAAACCCCCCGAAAGGTGGGAACTTGGGGGCTTCACCTGCCATGCCCCTGCCACCCTAAACCCTAAACCCTAAACCCTAAACCCTAAGCCCTAAACCCAAAACCTCAAAGCTTCCGAGGCAGCCCAAGCCTGGTCCACCGACGAAAGCAGCCCGGACGAGGATCCGGCGTGCACGAGTTGTGGGGGGTTTAGGGTTTAGGATTTAGGGTTTAGGGTTAGGGTTTAAGGGTTTGGGTTTAGGGTTTAGGTCGGGGGACCCCTAAAAATGGACCCCCAAAACAGTAGGATTCCCTTTTTTTAAGGGCTGCGTATTTATTTTTATTCTGATGGTTTTTTTCTTTATTCCTTCTGGGCCGGCCAAGAATTTGGGGGGGTTTTTCGGATTTTATTCTGCGGGTTTCTGCAGGTTATTCAGAGGGTTCCATTCCTTATTCCCCCTGTTGGGATTCTTATCCCCAAGGTTTGGTTTTTATTCTCACGGTGCCCCCCTTTATTCCGAGGGTTTTTTTTTTTATTTCCGCCCCCCCCCCCCCCCTCCTCCCCCTCCCCCCCCCGCCCCCCCCCCCCCTCCCCTCCCCCCCCCGTGGGTGGCTTAAATAGAATTAATTCAATTATTTCAATTAATTCAATTAATTCATTTATTTATAAAGGGGGGGTGGGGGCTGGGGGCTGGGGAATCCCCCCCATTTGGAAATAAATAAATTAATTGAAATAATTGAATTAATTGAATTAATTCAATTAATGTCAGCCCCCTTTGGAAATAAATGAATTAATTGAATTTAATGAATTAAATTCTATCTGTGCAACCCTACAGGACCTAGAATAGGGTCTATTTGGAAGATGGCTCTTGTGAATAAGTATACGTTTTGGGGTCTGCTTTCCTCTTGTAAATACGAGTCCCAGCTTCCAAATAGACCCTATAAAGCTGCACACCAACAAT